CAGGTATGGCTGGAAAAAACAAGCTCAGCTTTTTGCATTATATATTTCCACTGTACATTGTTTTTTCATAGCAATAGTTAAACATGATTCACTCACAACTTGAAAACATGAGAAAACTCCTTATTATTACTGGCATGTAGATGCTGTAATAAAATATTTACCTCTATTTTTAAACTTTGATTGCTTAATGAAATTGCTGGTCACAGTTGCTGGATAACAAGAAAAACAGGCCATTTCTCAGAACTTCAAAGTTATCCACAGACTCTTCTGATAGCCTTGAAGATAAAATATCCTTTTATTATGTTTATGTTTTATCTTCAGGCTGAAATGGCAAGAAATGATTTGGAACAAGTGAAATATGATCAAAAGGTCCCATGGATCAAGAGAGCCCAAACCATCAAGGCTGTGAAGACCAATAAAGAAATTCAAGGGAAAACTCAAAAAATCCAAGGATGCTCGACAAAGAGGCCTTTATCTGCAGCTAAGCCATTACAGAAGCAAGCAGAGGATAACACAAGCAAACAGAAGTTTAGAACTTACTTTTCTGCTGAAAGTTCACAGAAGAAAGAAAAAAGGGCAGCTGTGAGTTCCCAAGTAGTTGGGTTTGGGTTTTTTTTTGGTAATGACTGCTATGCTTTAGATTGCGATATTCATGTGAAAAATTGTTTGTGTAACTGTAGTAATTTTAAATGAAAGTGATAGCCCTGTCCTGTGGATTTCTGTTGTCAGAATTGTCCTTGTTTTCATGTGCTGTAGAAGCCTAAGCTGAGTGTGTTTAACAATGTAGAATTCATTGTTGTGTTACTGGTTTGTCTTACCCAGCACCTGCTACTTTATTCGGCTGTTAGTAAACTTCTTGTATGTGTTCTATATGCATAAGTTTTCTTGTGTGCTTGCAATTTATACTGTTGCAGAACTACTTACCTTTTTTCCTCTTTGCAACACTACTGATGTGTTCAAATTTTCATACATGAAGAATTGTAAATGGGTTTTTTTGGTGTGTGACAGGGACCTGTGAATGGAAGTGCAGTGGTACAAAATGAAGACTATCTGTGTCAAGTTTATGGGAAGCCAATTTACCAGGGCCATCGTAGCACGCTTAAAAAAGCGCCATATCTGAGATTCAACTCTCCCTCTCCCAAATCAAAACTTCAAAGACCCAAGGTGATAGAGTGTGTTAGAGGTAAGCAATTCTTTGATGTGAACAATGTGTTCCTTCCCAGTTTTTCCATTAGGAATTCCTTGTGTAGATGAAACTATTTTAATCATAGTTCACTGTTCTTCAATTTAAAGCTTAAGCAACTGCAGTAGCCTTCCTAGAGAGATGGTTGATGCCCCATGGTTGCCAGTGTTTAAGAGGTGTTTGGACAATGCCCTTAACACCGTGCTTTAACTTTTGGTCAGCTCTGAAGTGGTCAGGCAGTTGGACTAGATAACCGTTGTAGGTCCCTTCCAACCAAACTATTCTATTCTAATCTGAAAGATGCTCTTTTCAAAACTAAAAAATACCAGTAGGTTTTCATATTTGCTTAGTGTTTATCTCACTTATTTTAGATTGTCAAATTAATACTTACTTCTAAATGTAATAAACATATTAATATGTATTTATTGTTGCCCAAGTCTTAAAGAGCTGAACTGCTAGAATTAATGACATAAGCACTTGAAGGCTGAGTGTGTTGAAAAACTCATTCAGCTTTTGATAAGGTTACTGACGGTTGTATTCTTCGTGTCAGGTTTATCCAGTGATGTCATAAATGATGGATTCATTCAGAGTTAAGAAATCTACTGAGATTTGAAAAATTAAGAAAGCCTGATATTCCATTTCCCACTTCTAATACATGAATTGAAATATGAAAATTTAAATTTATGGGTGTGAAGATGACCTCTATTAACTTTGAATATTGAAAGATGTTAATCAGAAGCATTGGTTAAGTTCACTAAATGCAAGTAACTTCTTTTGTTAGTCAAGTCAGGGTTAAAAGCAGATTATAACTCTTTTGTACTAGCTTGTTTAGGTTATTTAAATGATTGATAAAGGTTATTAGTTGATTTATTAATCAATTCCATTCATTAGTTTTGTAGGCAAAGTGTTAGGATCAGAAGATTCTAATCTTCAAACCTATTAAAAATGTGTACAAATAATAAAAAAGTGAAACTATATGATATTTGACATAGGTAAGTGTGGATAAACTTTATCTTGAGTTAGAAAGTAATGTTTTAATTAGATCTGTTTTATTTCCTAGTTATCTTTTCAAAACTTAACTGATTCTTAATACAGCAAGTGAGATTAATCTTTTAACTGATATGTCAGAAAAACTTAACGTGTATCACCTTCTCGCTGTGGGAGAGAGTGAGCAAATCACATGATAAAATATAATGATGGAGAGAAAGAGTGGGTTAAGTGTAAGAGGCAGTTAAAGTGATAGTGGGCATAATTGAGTTAATAGGATGAGCAGCAATGGAAAAATATTAGTTGGCTTCCCTCTACACTTCTTGCACTTGGTTGTTTTTACCCATGCAGACAAAATACACACGATGCAATCTTAACTGTCATGTTTAAAAAATGGTGTCTGAGTCTTTACCATAAGTGTCAAAATATTGTATTCTCTATGAAATACAAGAGATTAGCATGAGAAGGCAGTCTCTTGATGTGACCATGTTTTTAGGCCATTAAAATGTACGGTATAAAACATATATAGGTCTTGGAAGAGAAGCACTGCTGGTTTTTAAGTTTTGGGTTTGGGGTTTCTTTTTTTTGACATTATGATGTACATCCACAAATCCTCAAAATAGTACAAGAATCTACTGTTAAGGTTAGAGTAGTCTTTATGCCATTTCCTGGCACTTTGCTTACCTGTGCTCTGGAGCCCAGTTGTGATCCATGAAGAAAAAGTGTTATTGGTAGAAAGTATTCGCAATTCTCATAAGCCCCCTGGAAAATGTGGGTTATAGTCCTGGCAGAAATCTTGAAGACTTCTCAAAACTTACTTTATTTTTTAAAAGGTGAGAACTTGGTATATAAAAACTACCACTCTTGTTGCATATATATTTTACTTGACCTCTCTTGAAACACTTCTTCTTTCACGAAAAATGCTGGTATACCCATTTGGAGGACCAGCAAGATACATCACTCTCTTAGACTATTGGCTATGCTGCACACCTGTAATTTAGTTTATCCTGTATACTTTTTTTGAATAAAATGTGTGCTAGTAAGCACTTAGTGTAGCAATAACAATGATACATTGACCTCTATGATTTGGATTGAGAACAGACACTTTAAAAATAGTTCATCAGCAGTTCTGCTTTTGCTGAGTCCTAAATGACATTTTTCTTCTATATTTCTTGGGCTCTTGTCCTTTATAGAAAGGTCATAACCTTTCCAGGGAGACCAGTTTCATCGTTCCAGAAACAATGCCTCATAAAGAGGCAGGAAAAAGTGTGTGTGTGTGTCCCAATCTAATTACAATAAGTAGGTTATCTGATCATTTGATACTAACTGTTTTCTGCCGTTAACGTGTTTAATTCAGTAGTGTCGGTGAAATGTGAAGGTACAGGTTGCATGCAGTTGTAGCAAGCTGCTCCTGTGCTTTTGCTTGTTTTCTGTTGGAGGAGAAGAGAAATTAAAGAGAAAACTGCATACTGGATCCATGCTGCATTCAATCTTCCAGAACCCCTGCATGTGACACATACAGTTTAAAAGCTGTTTGCTTGAAAACAGAATGAACTCTGGCTAGCCTTTACCCCAACTGATTCTCTTCCAAGTCATGCTACAGCCATACAGCAATGTGTGTTTGCAATAATAAAGCCTCCATAAAATCCCTTTCTCTATTTCACATCAGACTGCAGTTACAGAAAGTTACGTTTTGGTCTCTATCTTGACAGTAAATAAAATGACACCCCCGTGCATTCTTATCTCAGGGATGAAAGGAAGAACACAGAAATTTTTGCATGTCACTTTCAAGAATAGCACTCCAATTTATATGTGTCCTATTTCCAAGTTGTCTGATTTTAATGGCTTTAGACTGAGGTCAGCCTTTGCTTCATACTGGTATTACTTGTCTTTGACTCTTCGTGTAAGACAGTTGGTCAAGCTGCTGAATTTCTCTGCTTTCCTACATTTTGCCAATAAAATGGAAAAGTAATACTTCTGTGTTTCACATGGGTCTCATGAAGACAAAATAGTTAAATGGTTTTCAGGGCTGCTATTCTGAAAGATGCTGTTATGGCAGGAAAGTATAAATAAGAAAATTAGAAACAGATCTGTACTCCTCTGTAGTAGGAGTATAAATAAAATGAAAAAAAGTTGAATGAGCACTTTAAAGCACCAGGTTCTTAAGAAAGAAATCTTGCCAGCATTAGGCATGGTTAGTTCTTTCCTTCACGGGTCTGCACCCACAGATTCCCTTCCTGGCCTTGGTGTACCAGGTGATAAAGGCTTAAAAATTATTGGGAGTCATTGGCCTTGGGTTTGATTGGCTGGAAAATCCAGACTTATTAAATGACTCTATTTTGTTAGAGCAGTCTACTGAGCTTGTTTTAAATTAGTGTTAGAATAAGGATGTTTGTTTAAGACTGAAATGGCCATCTGGAGAGTTTCTTTTCAGTCATTTTATAACTCTCTCAACCATTTTCTTTGCAAATAAACTGTGGTGACTAATGCTTGGTTTCTTATGGGAAGTTAGGGAAAAAATCCAACTAACAGTTTTATGAGTAGAGAGCATTTCTAAAAAAAGTTGGAGTTGTTTTCTTGTATAATTTGAACTGATAAATATATGTAAACCGCTAGTTTTTTAAAGCTAAGTTTAATTAAATGTCTAGTTTCTGCCCAGTGCAAATAAACTTCTCAGGGGGAAATGAAAAGTTGAAAGCAATTAAAATGAGGTGCTGTGTGTATACAGTACTTAATCATTCTTACTGTGAGAACCTTGTTTTTACAAGTTGGCGATATTACAGATATGTTGCCAATTTCTGCTTTTACTCAAAAGTTCAAGGCCAAAGGGGACTGTTAGATCATGTGGTGTGACCTCTTCTAAATCACAAGCCACCGAGCTGTATCTATTTATGTTACTGAGTCCAGTAATTTGTCTTTGACGAAAGAATGTAATTTTTCTGACTAACCTATGCTTTGCAGAAAGGCACAGGCTCATCATTTAAAGACATCAGAAATTCTGCCCTTAATTACTTGTTCCCATGGCTAGATACCTTGTGGTTCAAAAGTAAATGGGACACTTCAAATTTAGTATCTGATTTATAGTGAGTTTTCAGCTTCAGTTTCCAGCTACTTCAGTTTCCAGGTGATTTTCCTTAAAAAATGAAAAAGACCTTTCAATGTCCACTCTATTTTAATATTGACAGAGATACAGAATTAGGACTGAATGCGGTGTTATCAAGTATGGAAGCCTTCTCCTGCTCCACATCACTGACATCCTGTTGAGACATCTGAGGATTACATTTATCCCGTTGGCCACAGCATTGTATTGTGATTTCTCCTTGCATTGCTTATCCTACATGACCTTAAAGCCTTTTTCAGAGACAACTCTTTCTGACCTGTATTTTTTCTTTGAAGAGTCATGAGTTGCCATTCTTGTTTCTAGGCTTATGACCCATAATTTCTGTGTACAAAACCAGCACTTCTTGGCTGGATTGCCTTACTTGCTTGTCTGCATTTGTTAAGGTCACATTATCAGTCTTTATTATGCCTAAATTGTAAAATAATTTGCTTTTATTCTTCAGTTAATTAGAAGCTATTAAATGTGAACAGAGCTAAAAAGTGCTTATTGCCATGTGTTAACTGGCCATTAATACAGGAAGGGTGATGATTAGAAACAACAGAGGAGTAAGATGACATTTTCCTGCTGTAGTGAAGGTATAGAGTTGGTTACCAATGTGATTCATTCCAGGTTCATTTTCCTAATGCCTACAAAATCATAGTAGAAGCACTTCTGTTTCATTCACCATTCTTGACTCCTTTTTTGGGAATGTTTCAGACAGTTTTTATCCATTTAGTTTAAAGTTAATAATTGCCCTAATAATATCCATTGTTTGCAAAGAATATAGGTTGAATAAGGCCTTGCATGATGGTATAGTGAGAAATGCAACATGGCAGTAAATATTCTGCTCTGCTGTACGCTTAGGCATTGTTACATACAAATTACTTCTGGGTGGCAATTTAACAATATATTTTCAAATTGGACCAAGAAATCAGTGCTTCCTCGATGTTGCAAGTCAAGACCTAGGGGTATTGGTTATGGCTTTATTTTCCAGTAGCAGCGAGTTGTTAAACCAGGAATTTATAGATTATACCCGTTCCTTTGAGTACCTGTCAATATTGTGGCTGCAGACATGGAGGCGTGTTTACAAAACTGAGGCGGTTTGGCTATATTCTATATCCTGTTTATTTTTTATGCCAAGCTTGCATGCTGTTCTAATGATGTGTTTCAAACCTAAATCATGGGTTTCTTCTTATCTGCTGAATCGCACTTTTCATTCCAACCTACTGCCATCCTTGTGTCCTTTTCTTCACATTTCTGTGCTTTTATTTGCTAGACTCAGATGTTCAAAAATTGTAAGTTTAATTCCTTCGTTGCTGTCAATACTGTGACATCTAACTTAGCACTTTTAGATTCCGCCCTTCCTGTCTCGCTCCCTTGCTCCCTCCATCCCACAGCAAAAATTTGTAATGGTTTCAGTTGAAGGGCTTAAATTAGTAGTGTGTGATGTTATTCTGTTGGTACATGCATTGATGATGTATGGTTTATCTGCTCTTGTTTCAGGTACAAAGGTAAAGTCAGTAAGAACACAGACTTCTCATAAGCAGAAGGTAGTAACCAGCCCTGGGAAACAGCATCTTTTATATGCACTTACCCAAGAAAATCAGTATGTCTTCAGTCCAAGTCGAGATGAACCTGCAGTATGTGGTCCGCTTGAAGGTCACCTAATTCCTATGGCTATTCCACTAGGTAGGGGCACATGACTGGCAGAGGGGATGTGTGAAGGTTAATTACTGCTACTTCATGGAAGTACAGCTTGCATCTTAACTCAGTGATTTGCCCCGGCCCATGAGATTTGCAGCTGCCCTTCTCATGGGAAATCTGCATGAGGAAACAGTTTAAAATGTCTGGTTCTCCTCATTCTTTGTCTTGGACATCTGGTGACCTTGACAGAGCAATTACTTGCTTAGCTGTACATACCTTCTTTGGTACACTTTACATTTCTAGGGTTCCTGTTCTGGCTTTAAGTTTGGTATCCATGTAAGCAGGAACTGAATCACTGGCCCTTGGATTCAACATTTACGATGATTTCAGCCCAATGATTTCAGTAGGATTGTGCCAGACCTGCTAAATTAATTGTCATGGCTTCTGTATTTTTGGACCTTCAATAGAACCTTTATATAGGCCTTGTTTTGGGAAGGGCTAGTATTATATTGGCATTTAAGGAAGATAATTACTAAAAAAAAAAGGGTGTCTCAAACAAAAATTTGTGGATTGCTATACTAAGTGTAATAGCATTTTTGAATATGATTAAGAAAACGTGAGGTGGGGGATGCATGGTATGTAATTTTTATTTAATTTTAATGTTATTCTCGTTTTCAGCAGTAGGTGTCACCAGAGTCAAGAGAAGTGAATACTTTGAAAAATGGCAGTGTTGCGTTTCAGTTTCTGCTGGGAAAGCCTTACAATTACCTGGTGAAGCACTATGCTTTAGCTAGTGTTAATAGGGGACTCTTTAATTGGTCTGTAATTACTCACAAGATCTCTGTCTGTCTCATGTGAAACACAAACACCCAGAATTTAATTTTAAGTAACTTATGAATTTACTGACTTTGGAGATTTATATATATCTTTAATTATTTTTAAACTGTCCTTAGGTCAAACCCAAATTAGCGACGTCTCAGTGCAGCCTGCAGGAGTAGTTATTGGTAAACCACACCCTGTTACAGTTACGACCTCCCTTCCTCAAGTGCCACCAAAACCACCGGCTGAGATAAAAAAACCAAACATAGCTGTAATAGAGATGAGATCAGAGAAGAAGGATCCCCCTCAACTGTCTGTGCAGGTACTTTTCAAGAGTGACGATTATTTGTTTGCTTATTTTAATAAATGCTAACTAAAGACAGTCTCATCCATCAGTAACTTACTTTGACATTAGTAGGTGGTTTTCAATAAGCATTAGAAACATATGGAATGGGGGTACCAAAAAGTTGTCACGCTATGATGATATTTTTATTCATATTTTAACATCTATCTTATTTAACCAAAATATGAAAATATTTCTTGGGTAAGTCACCTATGCAGGGTGTTTGTAAAATAGCTCTATGTCATGTTTTCCTTTTTTTTAAATGACATTTTTGAGCCACAACAAACTTTGAATAAAAAAAGTATTAAAATAAATGTCAGATTTCTTGGATGAATGCCTTAGCCTTTAAGATTTCTGTTTCTAGCATTGATAGTCAACTGAAGAATTTCACTCCTGATTAATCAACCATTACAGCCATTACCTAGTGGGTTGGTTTGTTATTTTTTTATTTTTTTACATGAGTCTGTTGTCAAGAAAGTTAATGTTTCTTACACATTCATTATTTTGGATTCAAATTGTTGAGAATATACACACTCCTACACACACCTTTCAGATACAAATGATTCATGGAATAAAAAGTTAAACAGAGGTAGAGATGTGGCTTGTTCCCTTGCTGTATCGCTGTTTTCCACCCACATGCAATTTGCTGTTACTTCACCCAGTTCTTAAATGTTTAACGTGATTTTTAATTTTTTTTCCCACAAAGAATGAAGCAAGCATTTAAATCTTTGATCTTAAAAAACAAAACAAAACCAACCAACCAACCAAAAAAACCCCATTTTGATACTGTAATGGACATGCCTTTATTACAAACTATATTGTAATACAATTATCCCTTTATTTTCCTATACCAGATGGATGACAATGTGAAGCCAATAGCCAGCCTACACAGTGGCTTGTAGGCCAGCTTAATGTAAATGAATTTCAGGTCAAACACACATCTGCTATATAAATAGTTACAGGTATATTCACCTTTTGTCACATGCAAGACAAAGTATCAGGGAATTAGAGACCAGGAAGAATCAGGTACTGAAAGAAAGAGGTGAATATTTCTGTGGTTAGCTTTTGTACGTTTTTCAGGACCAAGTTATTATCAGATAATCAGGTGTGAGGAAAGGAGGTCTCTGAAGTTTAGTGGCTCAGTAGCAAGTGGAAGAAAGAATCTAAGAAGTTCAGCGATAGTAGCTGAGCTAATACATAGATTTTCAGATTGGTGCTTTTTTCTGCCCTAGGTGTTGCCAAATGTAGATATTGACAGTATTTCAAGTGACAGTGTGAGTGTAAACCACGTTCTTCCAGACTCTGAACCTGCACTTCCTCCTGTCGATGCTGTAATACAGGTATTGATTGGTCTAAATGTCTGTGAATTCAAATTTGTTAAAAAAGAAAATATGTTAAATTACCACAAAGTTTTCTCGTTATCTTGTTTTAGTTAGAGAAATTAGTCAGTTCCAGGGAAAGTGGAGTAATTATTCTGAGTAATGTATAATGTGAGGTATTTGTTTAAGAAAATGAAAAATTGCAGCAAGATGCTGTTCTTCCAAGATTAGGTAATCACCATAGTAAAACTCTGAGAAAAACAGCGTTTCTCTGTCCTGTTAAGAGTTGTAATCCCTTATTGGCCCCATGTCTGTCTTATTTATACTGGCTTCAGTGTTCTGGCATGAAGACTGAGGATGTTCTTCATTCCTTTGTCTGCTCCTTGGCTGCACTTAAGTGGTTAGTGGCATGTATGCCTAGCCTGTTCACTGATAGCCTCTCGGGTGTGGAGCTGCCCAGTCTACTCTATTCTCTTTCTGTATAACTTTTCAGAAGTGGTTTTAATCTCATCTAAGCAGTAATGAAGGTTTTTGTGCAACTAAAAGGTTAACTGCTGCACGCTGAGTGATAAGGTTGTAAACTAGGGCACATGTTACAGGATAGCATATTGTTTCTTCCAGTGGACTTCTGTCTTGTGCATGGCACAGACTGGACGGTGTGAAGGCACGGTGATGCAGTGATTATTGCTGTATAGTTATTGTACCTTCTGTCTTCCCTGCCTGTTAGCTGCTATTCTGACTGAAGGAGTTAGGTCCTCCAGAGTCCTGTGCTCAAGGTATTCACTGACCTAGACAGCCACCATGTACTAAAATAGTGATTATTATTTTAAAAATAAATTATTAAATAACATTGTAGAAATCGCACATAAGTGAATTGCTTAAGACACTTCCAGACTCTTGTGTGCTGTTTTACAGTATTTTGTCTTACTGGTTTTGGGGGGTTTTTTTAGTAAGAGTTACAGGTCTTGCCCTAGAACTTTTGATGTTGAGAGATTCCATTAGATTTGGTAACAGCAGGTTTTAGTTGTCGGCAAAAAAGAAAAAGTTCTAATAATCTCTCTTTATGCTATGCAAAAAAAATTTTTAAGGTGGGTAAAGCGTTTTTTCTGGATTCAGGCTTTTGACAGGGAGTGGTGATTTAGTTGCATTCTTGTCATGAAATTTTTCTGCTATGCATTTTTCCTCCCCCAATATGAAATACCTAACAATTTCAATCTGCCTTTATAAGACTCCAGAAGATATACATAGTGAGGAGGAAGACACAAAGTTTCCGGGAGCTAATTTTATTGATGTTACCGATGTCATGCAGGTAATTATATTGCAGTTGTAATTATATCCTTTCCTTTTAAATGTTTTTATATAAGTTTTATATTATTCTGTCATAACTGAAAACACAATGTAGAAAATTAGTTTGCTTTACTAGCAACTTTAAAAATACACATTGTAAGCAACACTGAACTGTTTACAGTGCTGTGAAAAATACTAGAAATTACTGTGTGTTAGTAAGTAAAGGTCCTTTGAAGAATTACAATAAAAAGTGAAATTAGCTTTTATTTGGATGTGTTAGAATCCACTAGAAATAAAAGTAGCCCTCTAAAATCAGTGGTGATTATAGCACTTAGATTTCACAATTTCAAACGCTAAATGCAATGCATGTATAAGATGCTCTCACAGATCTTAAATCAGGTGACCTATATTTTAAAATGTGAAAGTATTTTCTGAGGGTTCTCATTTAGAAAATTTTGATATAGAGCAATGTGCCTATGCTTTTGAGGCCCTGAAATGCTTTCATATAATACCTCATTTCAGTCAAACATTATGTAACTAAAAACAAAAAAAGACAAGCGGTGTATGTGGGTATACATGTACAACATGTACTACTCATCTCATGGATTCCATTAAGTGTTTCCAAAATTTTTGTTCTGTGGATGCCTTGTTAGTGTGTCTGTACACATTTAACAAGATTATTGTTTCTGGATTATGGTAACATGGGCTTATTTGAGATACTCTTTTACAGTTTAATTTTTTTAGGTAGCAAGTTCTTTTATTACTTAGTTGACCTCTTGTCAGTCAGAGTGGGGGCTGACAAATACTCAAGGTTGGTGAACCAGCATGTGTTTCACTTCTCCAGATTAAGAGCAGAAGTGGAAACTCAATGGTAGCTGGGAAAGGCTGCCTGTGAAGGAAGCAAGGTGCTGCCACCCAGGTGTTGTGGAGTATCTTGCCTCTGTGGAAGATGGCAGCTTCCACCTCCTGCTGCATTTAGGACTCCATAAATACCAGGAGCTTGAAATTGCTGTTGCTGGCTAGTACTGCTCTTGAAGTGCTTTTTCCTCAAGCTTCTTTCTAGTGAGCTAGACTTGCTGTGTGCATATCAAAATTACCCAAAAAATGTATTCTTTATACCTGTTCTATGTGCTCCTGATCCCAGGATTAGAGTGTACGTACATCAAGTATTAACTCTGTAGCCTATAGGTCAGTATGGTAGATTTATATTGAAAATGAGTTCATCATTTAACATTATCAGTTAAAACAGTCATAAAGGGGCGGTTTACCTATCAAAAGTGGGGAAATGCTTTATTTGTTTTTAGTTTCAAAATTACCTTATGTTATTGGAGGGGAGGAGTTAAATCTATTTGGACAACTTCTGTTTGCACAAAAAAGCTTTATTTTAGAAAAATAAATGGGAAAGCTATTTAAGAAGTCAGTTTATGAACTAACAAAAAAACCTGCTGCAGTGTTAAATTTTTTTATATGAGAATAATAGTTATTCATCTTTTCTTTTTTTCATTTTTCTCCTGGATTGCTTTTATCTTTTACTTTTGGCAATGAAATATATTTTAACCACAATACCAAAAAAATATTCTAAGTGAAACATATGTTTGGCCTATGACCACACAGACAATGTTCTTAAAAATGTGCAAGGCAAACACAATGTGGAAGCATAAAATCAACCTCTGGAGTGGCAGGGGTATTTAAGACATCAAAAGAAGGCAAAGTTACTGTTATAAAAGAGGCTTCAGGTTCATGAAAAAATGTGCATGAAATGATTTACAGGAAAATAGCTTATAGTTGTCTTCCCCCCACACCACTTGTATTATGAAAGCTTAATTCTGTTAGAACTGAAGAGGATAAGTATTTGTGTGAAATATCCTTTTTTTTTTTTTTTTTTTTCCCTTTTGTCTGGTTTTTTTCTTCCCTGGTGGATATTGCAAAAAGGCCTCAGGGCTGTGGCCCAGGCATTTCCTTTTCCTAGGATATTTTTTTTACCTTTCCTAGTAGAAGATACTTATTTAAGAAGTACTTAAGAGCTGAAATGGTAGTTGTTAGCATTGGTGGCCCAGCAGAGCCAAGGCTGCCGCACCCCCCGGGCCCAGCCAGTAGCGAGGCTGAGCATTGCCAGTAGCACGCACACACACACCTATGCAATACGCATATACATGCATGTGCATGAGTGGCCACACACACAAACACACCTATGCAGTATACATACACATGCGTGTGCACGAGTGGGTGTACAGGTCAGCGCTCAAACAGCACCACGGGGCTGATCCTGTTCCCCGCTCTGGCAGTTCAGGATGGGGGCCTGGGATATACATGTGCCTGTGTGTATGTACATATATATGGCTGTGTATGCATGTACATACACAGGCATACAGACATGCAGCGTGGATCCCTTCAGTATCTGGCATTAGACACTCAGTCTACCCAGTAGCTGGCCCAGGAAAATAGTTGGAAATAGAGTTCAGTGAGGAGACAGGACAGACTGTGCCGATCATAGAATCGCTTTGGTTGGAAAAGACCTTTAAGATCATCGAGTCCAACCTTTAACCTAACCCTGCCATCCCACCACTAAACCCTGTCCCTAAGCACCTCATCTAGCCTTCTTTGAAATACCTCCAGGGATGGGGACTCGACCACCTCCCTGGGCAGCCCATTCCAGGGCGCCGGGCAAGGCCAGGAAAGCATGCTGACCAGCCGCTTGTTTACATGCAGCCAGCCCCTTTTTTGTCCCCCTATCCCTCTATTTTCCCACACCTGTACCTCTCCAAAACAGCTTGGTTCTTCCCTTTCCACGCCTCTGGTTCCTTCCTGTAAATACCGCATAAACAGTGTTGTACCATCCCAAAGTACTATTCCCTGCATCCCACAGTAAGCCATTGTGTAATCACCTCATCCAAATGCACCTGCCCAGCTGTAAGAACGGTGCTATGGAGAGTCTGCCCATGGGCTCACCTTGCTGGGTCTCACTCCTGGACCCTGGGGCTGAGCCCTCTCCTGGGATAGCCCTGGGAGTAGCCATGTTGGGGTGCTCGGTTGTCATATTAGGTTATCTGGGTTCTCCCACCTGCAGTCGCTCCTCTGTGCTCCTTTATGTTTTTGTCACATAACCTACCAGAAATATGTTTTAACCATTTTGAGGACTAATGCAATGTAAAACACAAGCCCTGCCAGGGGAAGAGGTGATGTGCCTTGTTCTCCCATTGCAAACTTGTTGTCTAGTGTTTAAAGACCCAGAGCTCCATCTTCCAAAACAGTTGAATTAGGTGCTCTTATTTCACAATAAGAAAATTCACATGTGGAATAAAGCAGAGAAAGCTGTTACAACTTTGATTTACACACTTCTTTATTTTTGATACATGATTGCACCTACAACAAAGTAGGTTCAGACTTTCTGCACAGAGGAGATTTTGCAAGGCCAGCCCTTGCACGGACCCTGTCTTATTCCAGAGCGTGAAACTTGCTCAGCTAACATGAGCCCAGAACGGACTCTTGGATTTATTGAGTCTACTCTCCAACTCTTATGAGCAGCCACATCCTGCAGTACCTGTAGCGAACTTACTAGGTTTTAACATCAGAGACACTTTCTGCTGTCTCTGAACACGCCCTAATTGCAAGGTGGGGACTTGTTTCTCAGAATTTTTGCTTCTGTTTTGAATACCACTGCAAAATACATAACCTGCAGAGATCAGGAAGAACATATTTTCCTCATCCTGGGTTTTCTGTTGATGCTCTTTGGGGCAGTGATTTTTTTACATCTCCAGAAGTAAAACTCCCCAGACAAAAGATCACAGGTGGCACCTGCAATGCAGCCAGACTTTGCTTGTGAAAATTGCTTTAGAAATCTGTCGAGAAGAAATCCATGACTGAGTTTTAGATGGCTTTAATAAAAGGCTATGCATATACGTGTTTGGTAATGGAACAAAATTAATCTATACCACCTAATAATTTCAAACATTTTTTTAATTATCTGAATGTAATTTGGGAAATAGAATTTCAGTTTGATACGGTATAATAAAGTACAGTGATTAATATTCCAATCATATCTGAAAGGATTTCTAATTTATGCCAGATTTTGATTGGGAGTCATGATAGATATTTTCAACAGTCTCCAGGGAGGTAAAATGCAGAATGGAGTGCAGATTATTCAGGATTGGTCTATAAGGTGATATATGTGCAAGTTCAATCTGTATAATTAAATACTGACTATTATTATTTTTTTTATTTCAGCAGAGATAATATATCACCCCAAAATGAATATAATTTTCTTTTGGATTTGTGCACTATTAAATATAACCTATTTTTGCACATTGTTTAGAAATGCAGGAGAACTGCAAGTTTGTCAGAAGTTACTAAATATATGTAAGATTTATTGTATGTACTTGGTTTATTTAATCCAGATGTTTGTATTTTGCATGCTTTCAGAAAAGATTATATTAAATAGGCAACATCAAAGAAAATTTATGGAGTAATGCGGTCAGAAGAAAATGCATAATGAAACACTGGACAAAGACATCTTTACATTTGCTGTCAGAATGAATTATGATTATGAATACATATATCCTAACAGAATGAGCTGCTTATCAGCTTGCAAGGCATCCAGTGCCATTCTGAGTTTAACTGTACTGTCCTATTTCTATGGCTAGAATGGTTTAGAGGGCTGTCTTTGTCACCCAAGTATGCACATTCTGGTTTGCTTGCTGTGTAAGTTATAGCTTTTTTTGGAAGAATTATTACTATTTCAAGATCCAGAAAGATCCCACTCCCCAATAGCTCTTTGTTGTAATACCCATCATGGACCTATCTGACTTATCAGTTTTAAAGTATATTAAGGTAGGAGAGAAGTATTAGTCCTGGGTTGGGGAAGGAGACAGGAAAATGTTACTATCTGGGGTTTTTTTCCTTCTCTCTTCTTTCTGGTTTTAGTGATTTGTTCTTTCATTCCTAGAAAATACATAGCCTTTTTTTTTTTTATTTTATGGTTAAAAGTAAATTTAATTTATATAAGGGAAAAGAAGACTTTTTTTCTCCTTTCAGTGTGTTGGAGATTAGTCTTAGTAAATGTAGATTTACGGTGAGCCCTTTTATGCAACATCGCATACTTCTCACTGGTAATTTAGGGCTCAGCTCTTCATCTCTTTCTGGCATGCCAAATTTTCTTCTTAGAGAATCATATTACTATTAGAGACATTCGTTTTTAATATTATGAGTGAAGGATGCAGGTTCTCATCCATCAGGAGACATTTTTAAAGTGTTACATTAGGATACGATGGGCTGGTGACTGCTTTTTGGGACTTGATGCTGTCTATGTGCTTGGGGGGGAAAAGAGGGTGGCATCTTTGGAAACAGACACTATAACGCACACTGAGTAACTTTCATAACTTTTAGAAATAGCACACTAAGGTTAAATTCAAAGTGTCTGTGATGATCTTGTGAATTGATTACCCAGGAATACCCTTTAATTTTCAGCAGCTGAAGTTAGTGAAAGCATAAGCATACATGTAACGTATGTGTAAACTATTAATGTCTAGTCTTCGGTGCTGGCAATGTTAATTAGTTTTGACTGACTGCATGCTCGTCAACTTTTGGGAATGTATCTTTTCAGACAGGAGACTTTAAAGTAAAAGTTTAATTTCTAAAAAAAAAGAAAAACCAAACAAATACCAAACCAAAAAACCTAACCCAACAAGTGACTGTAGAAAGTTTCCTAAACTTTTCTGTTTAAAGGAGGAGCATTTCTGGAGTATATATTAAAGAAACCTGACTTATGTCACAAGTGAATTTCTTGAGGATTAGCATTACCATTGGCTCCCTGCCCCGTGCAGCACAGGCAGGAAATATGAGCCAAATCATGTTTTACTTAGCAGTTCCTATAGCCTTATACTTACACAGTTTTATGATTTGCGAAGTTTAGAATTGTATCAATTAACTACAACATACTAAGAAGGAAGAATGTGGTTTGTTTGCTGTGACAGATCCACGAATGTTTCTCAAAGAAAAAAATCTGATGGTTACCTTGATGACATTGCCTTCTAGAACACACCATAACTTAATTTACTACTTATTTATTAGGATCAGGAAGAGGAGAGGGATGAAATTCCAGAATTCTTTGAGCCTCTTCTGGAATTTAATGGACAGTTTAGAGTTGCCTCGCCAAAATACAATGGTCCTTTGTTTCCTCCAGTCGCTTCTGCTCCTCAGCAGTCTTCTGATGTTTTGGATGAACTGATTCAAAGGAGAGAAACTATAGAAAACAGGTTGATAAACTGGTGAGTTGCAATATAACAAAGTGTCAAGACAATCATATATGTAAAAGGAATGACTCCATGAGAATACCTTCCCTTTCTTCTCCTCACCCCACTTTTCTTCTCCTCTTTCCTTTGAGCTGCCTTGCATTTTATGTCAAGAATGCTCTTTTGTGTACTTTTAGGTGTTTTGGTGTTTGCTGATAGTTAAACAGGTTTTATTCTGCTAGGGTGGAACAAGAAATAATGGCAAAAATTATCAGTGGGATGTACCCAGTTCAGAAAGAAACAGTGCCCAGCGTTAGCACCTCAGGGAGTGAAGACGGTGAGACCGTAACGTCTGACATAGGTAAGTAGGAGTTATTGTTCTCAGCAGACAGATTATCTCAATTTTTGGCTAACAAGCCATGTAGGGAGCTGTTGCCTGAGCCCAGGAGTGCATAATGCTGAACCAGTGAAACTGTAAAATGCAAAAGTGCATGCTTTAATTTATGTTGAGACAGAGCAAGTATTAGAAGGCCATTGAAATAAATAATCTAAAAAAAGAAAAAGAAGACATAAAATATACCAGTGTACAAATTAAGTCGTGTTATTGGCCATCTAAATCAGATTTGGCATTTTGCTATGCCTGTAATGTTTGTTTGCCTTTCTTTTGTTAATAGATACATCAAAAATAATCTCCCTTATAAATGTGTGAGAATGGGAGACAAATGCATTTCTCCTGTGATGTTACTGCCCTTCCCTGCTGCCTTTTATCATTTGAATTGCTTCTCTACTGTTGTTTCTTTATCTGTAAAATGAAAAAATCACTCTTTGTAAAGAAATGTTTAAAAGTTCATGGAAAATAAAATGAGTGGCTGCAGTACGGTTACATGCATTTAAGAAATGAGGCCTGGATGTGTGCTTTATGTTTCTTCATTTTCAGTTGAAGTTGCAGGTGGTGGAGGATTTCAACTCTTTATCAATGCTGGTGTGCCTGTGGACTCAGAAATAATAAGTCATTTCGTAAATGAAGCTCTCAGTGAGACAATTGCAACCATGCTGGGTAACAAGCAGGCTCAGAATGCAGTTCCTGCTACAAACGTTCTTCCAAGTACGACAGTTATGATGGTAAGGGTCCTTTTTATTAAGCTTTCCTACTGAAGTTCCAAGGGATAATTTCTTCGTGGCATGGTAGTTCAACTATGTGCAAGACAAAGATGACAGAAAAAGACTGATGAACTGAATGTGTATGATTTGCATTTTTTCATTATTCCTTATTATAACCCAGCAAGCAACAAGATTAAACCTATTTCACTTCAAAAAAAATTGAAAAGAAAAAAATGAATTGCTTTGTGCTGCGTGCAACACACAATATTTATTTATTTACTTGAAGGCTGAGCTCAAAACTGATTTTTAAGGGAAAGACTTGGTACTTAATTTCATGTTGTCAAAAGATAGCTCGTGTTATTTTCCACAAAAATAGCTCTGCTTCTTTCTTGTGGAGAAATGAAATATGGAGAAACTTATTTCTTCATATAAGAAGAAATAGAAACTGAGAATGATAATACTTTTGATCTTATGGGCTTGCAGCCATTCTTTAGTATCTGTAAAAATGAGTATTAATTCTTTCCAAGTGTTGAGTTCAGTAGTTTTCTATAAATGCTTACATGATTAGTAGAGGTTCCTGTAATACAGAATAATTTTCTCTGTTCCCTGTGATAATCAAATGACAGCTGGCTCCTATTTTGGTAACAACATGGCTGTGCTACAATCTGGTGTTGTATAATGTCTTTGGGATGAATGTGGAAATGGCTGCGCTTATAACTCTAACTACAGAGCTTTGTTGAATGTGAGATCAGTTGTTCTATTTTGCTACAGTGCATCTAGACTGAAAAGCCAGCTAGTGCCTGCTGTAAGTGAGCAACAGATTATTCTGTAGTCAAAAGTAATCACTTCACTGCTATAGGCTTAAATACAGCCATCCTGCATCTAAAGAGCTCTTCCCCCCTCCATTACAAATTAAGGAGAGTATGATGTTAAAGAGGACTCTTCTTCGTAGCTTGTTCTTGTGATACTTAGAAACCCCTTCTAATAACCATTCTACATTTACTAATGGCACTCTTAAGCCTTCTTGTTTCTGTACCAACTTAAACTGAAATGTCCTTAGGCCGAAATTGCTGTTTCCTCCTTTCTATATATATTCATTTGTGCACTTCTAGAGATTAGTTTTGTCCTTTTCAGCCTTTGATTAAGCTAAATAAAATAATCGTCCGTATGCATACCATTTTTTGACTCTTACTGATGGGCAGCACTTTTATGTTTTCCAATTTAGATTGGTCTTGGCCACAGGTAACATTAATATGCTAATACACATTTTTAATAATAAGGTAGTATGTAAACGGGGTTTCCTCAGTGCCTTGTGCTATAGCAGTGATACTGTCCAGCCTTGACTGGAATCTCAGGTAGCCAACTGTTTGGTTTTTTTAAAGTCTTTCCACACTTGTGGCTAACAGTTATCCTTTGGATAACTTGTACATTCATAAGGTTCTTCTCCTTTTTCTGATCAGCTTATAGCAGAAGTTCTTGAATATTGGTTTGTGCATTCTTGATCTACCCCTTCTTACCATGGTTTCCTATCTAGGACTTCAGCTGCCCAGTTACTGAGTTCTTTGGATGTTTATCATGTCAAACAGTTTTATGTGAACTGCCAAATGTGTTAGTGTGTTCCACTTCCCCTAAGAGTTGTTAAAAAAAATCATCAGTCTGAGGATTTATTCTTCAGAAACCAGCCTGGAGCCTTCCTTTAGCCCCATCATCTTTTCTTTATAAATGTCAGAGAACAGGGCTGGAAAACACCTAGAAAGGTCCATCATATTCCTCCATAGCAGGCTGAATTGCAACCATCATACTTGCTTGTTAGATTTATCTCCATCGCTGTAGTTTTTTAAGGATCATCACAACTGTGTGCTTATTTTAGTGCTTTACTGTCTTAGCTTATCTCTTTGTTTGTAATATTCTATTTAGCTGATTCTCTTATCATAAAATTATCATGCTGACTCAAGTTTATCCATGTAATGAAATACTTTCTTGCTTAAGGTTGTACCAAATGCTTTATTAAAATTCATATAATCATATAATTAATATTTAGACTTGACATTAGGAGGCATTTCTTTACCAAGAGAGTGGTCAAACACTGGAACAGGTTTCCTAGAAAGGTGATCAATCCCCCAAGCCTGTCAGTGTTTCACAGGCATTTGGACAATGCCCTTAGCAACACGCTTTAACTTTTGGTCAGCCCTGAATTGGTCAGGCAGTTGGACTAGATGGTCATTGTAGGTCACTTCCAACTGAAATACTCTATTCTATAATGATATTTGGATTATAATAATATTATCATTATCTATAATGATTTCCAAATGTAATCATGGTAACGCATAATTTATTGTTTTTTAATTTCTCTTATTCAGACATACCATTTAGCCTGGTGCAACTTTATGTTTAGATGGAGGAGTTAGATCCATGAAGCGTGTATCTAAGCAACAACTGTTCCTGTTCTGTGATAACCTACCTTTCTCTCTCTTCCTCAGCTAACTCTGGGGATACTTGGAAGGTAGGAATTTTGCATTGAGATAATAACTGTGGTTACGATTCTTTTTCCCCTCAGGAGTCTCTTGTGCCTACTCCATTGCCAACACCCCAGGCCACACCACCACAAACACCACCGTCAGAAAAAGAATTGCCTCCAGTCAAAACTCCAGAGTCTTCTCTATCTCTTACAGAAATGAGTGGGGATGTTCGTAAACATGAAAAAATTAAAGAAACAGGTAGTGAAAATAATAATTGAAGTTTAGAAGTCGCAAATATGCTTTAATCTATTGCCTTTAATTTTCTTCTTCAAAGACACGTTATCTCTCAGGGTAAATATTCTTGAGGCTATAATTCAAGTGCGAACTCATGTAGTACAAAAATTATGGGCTAATTCATATAAAAAGCAAACATCTCCTTTTTGGTAACAGTTCTATTTTCAAACTTAATGCACATTTTTATGGTCTGTGTGATTTCTATGCCTCCCAGCCCCTCCACACTTTTTCACATCAGAAGAGTAGCTGTCTTTTGCTCCTTCCTGTGTTTCTAATGTTAATTAAGCCAAATTTACACTCTCCATGTAAAGCAGCTTAGTTTTTAAAATGCAGAGCAATCTTTATCCTTATTAAAGGAAATAAGCAATTGAGGTTTTATTCTAGCTCTTTCAGATGCCAACACTGCACTTAAAAGAAACTAATCTTAATATAGTCTTGTCTCCATAATTATCAAAAGGTGTCACAAACTTTACAAGGGCTTAGTGGAACTGACTGACTCGCTGTCTGAGATTTACTTCCTGCTTTCCTTTCTGATCTGAAATTTGGCTTCACCCATGCAGGAGCTGAGATTCCAGCTGCCAGTAGTCGTGTTGGGACACCTGTGGTTACCCCTGTCAATACGCCTCCTAGAACAACCACACCAAGCCCTCCTGCCTCAGAGTGTCTCTCCGAAGCTGCAAAAATGGAAAGGCCAAAGCCTCCAAACCCATGGGATGGTGCAGAACTTCCTCTGGAAGAAGAGAAACCCAGTCCTTTAACTGAAGAATCATTCCGTCCCAAGGCTGTGTGAGTTGAACAGGCTGCACAGTTTTCTCATTTCTTAAAAAAAAAAAGAATATATTATTTCTACAATATATTATTTTTTCAAAAAGTCAGTAGAGAAATTATTAATGTGTATATCAGGAGTCATTGAGATAAGCCAGGTTTCTTTTTTTTTTTTTTTAATCTTTTGACTTCTATTTTGGAGAAAAATGTGAAATCAGGACCTTTCTCAGAATTTATTGGTCCTTATTCATTTTCCTGTTGAACACTGTACTTGGTAAACTGTTATTATTATACCTGCCAGTAATAAATGTAGCAGCAATGAAACATTGTATTATTAGCTTTTTATTTTTTCTATTACCTCAGTGGGAATACACATGGTAAATTTTAGTTATAACCAGAAATTCATTAATAATGTAATTTAACCATGTTGATTCTCGGTCTGTTCTATGAAATGCTGTCTGTGCTCTTTCATTTGAAAAAACACTTGCAAATTAATTTATTTTCAGTATTCATTTAAGACTTTAGCCTATATTGTTCAGTGGATTTTGTTGTATTCAAAATGCATATTCTTACATTTTAGTGAGATGTCAGTGGCTAACGATGAGGAACCAGAGGCCTTGATTCTAGCATCGCAGCAGTCGGCAGCAAGGCCCTTCGAATCGCTTCCTTGCGACCCACAGGTTCCATCCCCTGTGCCTACAGTTAGTTCTGGGCAGTCCACACAGGAAAGCAGCCTTACCCTCACAGAAACAGAAACAGAAACTGCAGAGAGACCCATCTCAGAAGGGGAGGTGCTCTTCAGCTATGGACAGATGCTGGCTGCAGGAGGTAACTAACTCAACAAATTTGTGGAAATTAGAATTTGGATTTTTAAAATTTTTTAAATAAAATTCCTTTCCAGTCTAGTGAAGTAACATTTCATACATTTCCTGATAAACTGCAAGCATTAACCTGAGCAATTTCGGTTCATGGTTTTGGATTTGAGAGACCTCATTGCTCTTTTTCTTGTTTCAGAACAAAATGCTTCTGCTTACTAGTGAAAAAAAGATTAAATCTGCTGTTTTTTCATAATATCATTGGGACTGTCTTGCACAAGTACCATGTGGTACTAAGTACTAAGTTTGTATTGAAAGCAAAGTATAAGCGATTTTCTTAAAAAGTATAAGCGATTTCTTTAAGGAAGAAATTTTTTACAATGAGGGTGGTAAAACACTGGAACAGGTTGCCCAGAGAGGTAGTGGAGGCCCCATCCCTGGGAACATTCAAGGCCAGGTTGGATGGGGCTCTGAGCAATCTGATCTAGTTAGCAGTGTCCCTGCTCACTGCAGGGGGGTTGGACTAGATGACCACTAGTGGTCCCTTCCAACCCTAAACATTCTATGATTCTATGATTCTTGGAAGTTGAAAATGCGTCTTTATAATACACATCCGGTAGTAGGAATTTCCAGCTTTACTAAAGCACTGTGTTGCAATTATTAAAGAATGTGGCCTTGGCTTTCTTTCATATAACTCACATGTTTTTTAGTATTTGTAACTTAAAATATTTTTCAGCGTTAGCAGAAGGAGGACTGTCTCTTCCAAATCTCACTGAGAGCTTAACAAGTACTTTACAAGATGCCAACGAAATGGTAAGGAAATGTTTCACAAGGAAATGGTGTTAGTGTGGTATTCTGCCTTGAGCATCTTGGTAAATTGGATGTGCTTCAAGCATTTTCACTTATAAATGTTTTAAATTTACGCTTTTAAACTGTACAGTTACAAAGAATGTTAGAATTTAAGAGCTCCAGAGACAAAACACATTATACAAACTAATTTATATTAAAAAAAAGTTGAATTATTTATATACTTCTGTAGGTGAGAGATAGCTAACACGCATTTTCATCTCTTTATTGTTTTTAGCTTTAAGACATCTTAAACAGAATAGAACATTGTTATGCTCTGAGCTGTTTCCACTTTGAGCCATCTTTTAATTGCTTGTGTGCTTAAATTACTAAGGTAGGTTAGCTGGGGCTGGAGTTACTTAAAGCTGCTTAAAACTTCTAGTGTAGTTTCTTATTTGACATCTGCTTTAGTCCATTGTCCTGGAAGCCTCCCAGGTTAAGGTATTCTCCATTCCCTTTCTCTTTTAAGATGTTTCCTCAAATGCCTGAACTTTACCTCTCTGACTTTGTGTAATGCCTCTTGATAGGACATAGCTGTCACATAAATGATAGTACTGGGTAGAGTAATACTATGCTTAAACCAAACTGTTTTCTTTGTGGAAGGATAAAACAAAAATTGATAGTGAAATTTTAATAGTATTGATTGGAAGGGACCTTCAGAGGGATTTCTAAAATCTTCCTGGACTGCCTCCACAATGCTGCATGTCCAGATAGTTGAAATCTGCCATGAGGATGAAGACCTGCCATCATCAAGACCCCCTGTTAATGTTTTGTAGAAAATCTCCCCTTACTTTCTGTTGGTCAGGTGCTCTTGAGTAGAATGCCCTCCCTCTTGATTGAGATTGTAAAAGTTCCCTTTGTGGGCTTCCCTTTACATGCCTTCTCTGTCTGCCACACTTCCTCTCTTAAACTCTGTTATCAGGTGAACCTAAATTAAAGTTCTCTTCATCAGGTTAGAAAGCTTGCTCACTAAGATGTCCTTCCCTGTCTTTGTCAGCTGGATCGTAACTCCTTCCAATAGTCCTCCATCCTCAAACTATGTTCTCTGGCTGAGGAAGCTAAATCCTTGCTGGTGAGAGCAGCTCCACAGCCGGATTGTTGCTAGCAACCAGTATGTGTCAGGATTTAACTGTTTCCTTGAACTTCGAAGGCCTGAAGGACCTTGTTCTTCTCTGAGTATTGCAGTCTTACGTATCAGATAAAGACTGTGTATGTCTGTTGGTAAAAGGAGAAAACAGTGTATCAGTTTGCTTATTTTTAGATACCTAGGGTTTTATGACACAAGTTCTCAGCGTGGAAGCTGTAACAACTTCCTTTATAAAAGAAAAAAGGCTTAATTGTGAACTGAAGTAAGAATGATTCAAGTTCCTACAAAAAATCATGTTTTGGATCATATAGTATGCGGATTTTGTTTCTTTATTTTAGGATTATGATCCTCCCAGTGAAGGGCAAGTGGTGAGAAGACTGGATAAAGGCTATCACAAGGATCCTGTCCTGACTCTTTTAGCCAAATTAAATCAAGCTCCTGTTGTTGCACAAGAAGGAACGTACTACTTGGAGGTAACTTACAGTCCTTTTCCTTCCAATACAGTAGTTTTGACGTGATACTTTCTTACTCAAAAGTAGATAAAATATTTCAAGCTTATCCTTCCTGTTGGCTATAGAACAGGTTCATACACTTCATTCCCTGCTGGAAGTGATCCCACTTCTGTTGGCTATATTCTCATGTAAAACATCTTAAAAACACTGAAGGTTAAGTGTTGTTATAAACAAGTTAGCTGTACATAGTATTACACGTACCTAGTGTTCAAGGTCTGTATGTGACTGTTCCAGTGTACCAGATTTGTCCTGTCATTTTGAACACCAGGGAAGTTTTCTGTCACTTCAGCAATATGGGTGGTATGTTTAGCAGTACAAGTTCACTGCACTTAATAGCCATAGGAGTGTTTTGGGGGAGGTATGACAAATAACTCAGCAAATGTTTACATGCACTTTTGCACGTGCTGTTGATACTGATCTTGGAACAAAACCTCTAAATATTTATATTCAGTTGGCAGAAAAACCAGACTAACAGAAAAATAGAACTATCTGCATCACAAAGGACAAAAGTAATTTTTTGTCACACATCTAAGTATTTTCTGTGTGGAAAATAGTAGTTTGGACTGGGTGTCTATTCTAACTGACGTAGCTGGAGGAACATTTAAAGGAAGTGAACTGTGAATACTTCAATATGGTTCATGAACACCTTTATTTACGGCTTTTTGTGATTTTATTGATGCATATGCAGTTTCTTCCTTCTGTCTTGGGTCACTTTAGACTAAATAATTACTAGCTTCAGCCACCTCCTTAGCTGTTCCTTTGTCTGTCTTTATTTTACTTAATGAGATCTGGTGGATGGACTCAGTGAAAAGCTTTCTACAGTGTCAGCTCTGAGTCTGACTGTAATTGTAGTGACATTTTCTCATCAGCACTGCCAATTACAAATGCATCTCTAATTTGCTTTTTCCCTTTCCCATAGTCATGGACTGCTCAGTCTGTCCATACAAGACACTAATAAACTCCCCCCTGAGATTCTGGCAAGGTGTGTGCAAGCATACATTCTCATTTATAAGAGAAAGAATCCTAGATGTTACTAAGAATGTAGCCTTAGAATGATACCGTATACATTGTGTATGTATTCAGCCTGTTTTCCTGCATAAAGCAAGCTGTGTTTTCTCTGCAGCTTTGAAAGTCAGAATCCAGAGAACCACCCCTATTCTAAGTGCCATCTAAACCTACTTAAAAATTTAACTTTTTATATGACATGCTATACAACAGAGAGTATCAATAGCTTTTAGATGCTTCCAGTGTTACGAGGTCAGGCAGTTAACAATGGCCATATGTGTAACATTAAAGACTTCATGTGCTAAAAATATAACTTAGATTCTGGTCATGTTTGGATACCACTAACAAAGTGAGTGATGTTCTTTGGCTGTAAGTGATTCTTTTCTATCCAGTACTGATAAATGGAGATCTTGCTTTCAAAGCCAGTTAGGTGGTACCTCTTCAGTTTCAGTTTTCTTTATTCAATGCTAATAGTATAGACTTATGTATGCTGTAAGAGTTGATGTAGTTAGATAACAATGCCTGGGTTTGGAAGAAATGCATTGGGGCTTTTTATACCTGCTATTCTGATGTTGCTTTTCTATGTAGGATTCTGACAACAGTGTTGGGGAGCTCAGTGAAGGTCAAAGACCAAGGCTGACGAGAGCAGCAGAGAGAATCCTAATGGGACACTCAGTTTATATGGACCATCCAACTGCTCGGACTTCTGAGAACAGACCACACCAGGGTTTCCGTTCTCCATCACCAGGGCAGCTTGCCCAAATGGGAGGTAAGTGAGACTCTTACTTCTTTTCTGTGATATTTACGTTGATTCTGAGTTTTTTCTATAACACTATGTAAAATCCAGTATTAAAAATTTACAAGTGATTGCTGCAATGAAATGATTAGCATTCCTATTCTGAAAACTGCATTTAATTTAAGCTGTGTCTTCACTCTTCTTTGTAATATTCTACAATTTGAACAAAAATCATGCCGAGTACACACGTGCCTATAGAAAAGTTCATTGTAAAGTTTTTATTTTATTCTTTTAAGTAAAATTCAGTTCTCAAAAACACTTAGTTTGACTGTTCTTGAAGTCGGTTTCCATAGGGCAGGTATTAAGACCAGCAGTTCAAGCTACTTCTCTCTGTCCCCTTACACAGCACTCCTTCCCATTGTTTTTATCACTCCATCAAGGGGATACTGCAGTGTCTCATAATTGGTAATATATTTCAGTTTCATATATTCCTGTAACAATATGGAAGTTCTTTTTCTTTCCCAAAAGGGTAGCTGAGGTGCACACATAGTGGCTTGTACAAAGTACTGCAGGAAAATGTTGCTGTGGTAAAGCAGGGTAATTAATTTATTTCTTTTCAGTTGAAACTAGTGCTGTAACCACTAGACCATCCTTCCTCTCCCTTATCTTGTTATCCCAGTTTCTATATTGTTATCTGAAAATGTACTTTCATACTTCCTTAATTAAACTGCTGCAAGCTCGTAGAAACTCTTAGTTTTGTTGAGTGTGGTTTTAAATATGATTAAACTAAACGGAAATAATTATTAACCTGTTACAGCACAAATGTGATTGCACTGATTCATCAAAAGTTGTGTAAACTAAAGTGATCAAACAGCTGGTTTTCTGTCCTTTTAATTTTCACATTTATGAATTTGACAAGAGACGCATGTCTCTCATTATCAGCCCTTGACCAGTAGGAAGTGGATTGAAATTGAATGTGTTCAACATGTGGCAAAAATTATCTCGGAGAAATAAGAGTATTTGTTTAGTTTTGAACTGATTCACATCTGAACTGGTTAAACAGAGAGTAAGCTTTTTAAGGTTACCTACCGTTTTGGACCAGCTACACCACTGTCAGCCTTGAAAATACATTCTGGTATTTACACATTATTACATATTATTTATAGGAAAATATATTGCATATATTACGTATTATCAAACTTTTATTTGAAAGAGGTGGTTCAACAAAGCCAAGTGCTGGGTTCTGCACTTGAGTCTCAACAACCCCATGCAACACTGCAGGTGTGGGGAAGAGTGGCTGGAAAGCTGCCTGGCATAAAAGGACCTGGGAGTGTTGGTCGACAGGCAGCAGTGTGCCCAGGTGGCCAAGAGGGCAAACAGCATCCTGGCTTGTATCAGGACTAGTGTGGCCAGCAGGAGCAGGGCAGTGATGGTGCCCCTGTCCTGTGCACTGTGAGGCCGCCCCTCGAATGCTGGGTTCAGTGTTGGGCCCCTCACTCCCAGAAGGACATGGAGGGGCTGGAGCATGTCTAGAGAAGGGCAATGAAGCTGATGAGGGGTCTGGAGCCCAAGGCTGATGGGGAATGGCTGAGCGCACTAGGGGGTGTTCAGCCTGGAGAAGAGGAGGCTGAGGGGAGACCTTATTGCTCTCTACAGCTGCCTGATAGGAGGGGGGGAGGCAGAGGGGGGTCGGTCTCTGCTCCCAGGTAATGGGCGATAGGACAAGATGGCCTCAAGTTTTGCCAAGGGAGGTTTCGATTGGACATTAGAAAAAATTTCTTCATGGTAAGGGTTGTCATGCACTGGAAGGTGCTGCCCAGTGAAGTGGTTGAGTCCCCCATCTCTGGAGGGATTTAAAAGCCGGGCAGACAAGGTGCTTAGGGACATGGCTTAGTGGTGGACTTGGCAGTGTAAGGTTTATGGTTGGACTTGATGATCTTAAAGGTCTTTTCCAACCTAAATGATTCTATGATTCTCTTAATGTTGTTTGGACATTTGTTACCTTAGGCTCCCTGGCAAAGGGCTAGCTAATGCTACTGTCCCTTTCTCCAAGTCACTTGTTTAACACTGTATTGATAGAGTATTGTTGTCAGCATTAAGAACACTGTGATGTGAGAATAAATTGGTGATCTAGATCAATCTGCTCTAAGTCTCTGATAATGCTCAGGACCATGTAGAGAGTTAGAAGATGCAAGTTAATGGGAGGACCTGTCTACTAGGGATATTTCCTTCTTACCCAGACTGGCCATAGCTTTATCTGGCTATTTGTATCTTGTCTGTACCTATTTTTTAAATTTATTTAATTTAATTTCAGATGCCCTTTGTCTGTCCCGTAGCTATCTAACACTTTTCAAAACCAGCTCCTGCATGTGATGATAATCTAGAAGCAGTGTGCTTCTCTTTTATTTTTTTTATGCTCATCCCTCTAAACCTTGTAGTATTGTTTCTGTTGTAGGTTTGGTTGTTTTTTTTTTTTAAGAGAGGCAAGTGCCCTGGACTAACTGCCACTGGGAAATGCCCTGTCTAGAAGCAGTGTGCTTCTCTTTTATTTTTTTTTTATACTCATCCCTCTAAATCTATTGTTTCTGTTGTAGGTTTGGTTTGGGTCTAGAAGCAGTGTGCTTCTCTTTTATTTTTTTTATGCTCATCCCTCTAAACCTTGTAGTATTGTTTCTGTTGTAGGTTTGGTTGTTTTTTTTTTTTAAGAGAGGCAAGTGCCCTGGACTAACTGCCACTGGGAAATGCCCTGTGCTTTTACAATAATCTGTAATAATCCCAGACTGAGTTTTGTTGCATTCTAATGATTTTTAACTTAGCTTCCCTCCCTCCACACCTCTGAACACACAGCGCAGTATTCATTGACATTGCTAAGGAAACAACATGGTATAAAAGCTAGGATCTACTTTCAAGACAATCATATCAGGAGGGAACAGAAAATCTTGCTTCCAAGTCCCTTTGATAGTGATGGTATAAAAGCTAGGATCTACTTTCAAGACAAGAGTGTTTTCATATCAGGAGAGAACAGAAAATCTTGCTTCCAAGTCCCTTCGATAGTAAAATCAACACTGAATAGGAAAAAATCTGTTTGGGGGTGGGGGGTGGAGCGTAGGGGGGAAGGAATGATCTGTGATTGTTTCCGCTTTTCTTCCAAATCTTTTGCATCCATCCACTGGTATGTGAGATTGCATGTCCTTCAGTCTATTGCAAGTCAGGACTAAGAGCTATTTCCTGATAGCCACAACAATTACAATGCAAGTCCATCATTTAATTTGATAATTATTTTTAGGGGTAAAATTAAATAATTGGTACACCAATGGATGTAAAAGTTCATATATTTCAGGGTGTAGATCTCTGTACATATAACCTTGCAGTGGATACTCAGTTTCTCTGCCAGAATAAGTCACTCACAGATATGTCTGTAAGAATTCTGAGGATTTGTGTCTATGTGTATCTTCAGTTTTGTGACCAGTTTTTATTTGCATTGTGGAAACATTATGTCTATTTATAGGCTGGAGCAGGTGTTGCTTATGTAGGTATACAACAGCATCTTGATGATCAGTCTTTCACTTATAAATCCTTGTTTTCAGTGCTGAAAGTCATGGATATAAAAACCAACATGCAAATGAAGTGTGGCGCATGTAGTCTTAAAGAGGACAATAATTACAGTTAATTAAGCAATGATTATAGTTAATTAGGCTTAAAATTCATTCTTTGGCTCTGTATGATAGCAGAAGGCTAAAGTTAGTTCATGAGCTGTCAGTACATTTTTCATAAAGATGCTTTACACACTTGCAAGCTGCAAATGCATGATAAATGCTGGATTATATAGCAAATTATCCCTTTAAAAAAGGCTATATACAGGTTTCTTCATTCACACAATAGTGAAATATTTTCATGAAGAAGCCTTTCCAGTCTCTTTCCAATGTGTGATAAAGCTCAAAGCATATAATGGTATGATGAACTGTACAGCTTCGAAGCAATCACAAATGCTTGCCTTGTTAGAAATCTACAGATGATAAAACTGATTTATTTTTTTCAATCTCCACAGGCATGTATTTCTTATTTCATTTTTTCCCCCAAGAACAATTTAGGATATACAATGAGCCATGTAAGGAGGAAGTAATTCTTTTTAACATTGCATGTCCCATTGCTGAATCTTGAAAGGCTCCACATCCTGCCATGTGAGTTGACCAGGAGGTTATTAGTCCAGCTCATCAAGGAATTTTTTTCTCTTTATTTTTCTTTCTCAGCAGAAATTCTTGGAGATGCAGATACAAGTCATGGTCCAATGCTTATGGCCGAACTGGAATCGCAACCAGTTTCAAATCCAGTTCTGCAAGCAGCCCAACCAAGCTGCAGAGTGACATCTCTCTCAGACGATCTGTCCCAGGTAAACTCAAAAGATCTTTTCTATGACTAGTCAAAAAGTGCAAACTGAATCATAAGAAAATAATTTTTCCTTTTTCACCGTGGTGACTGACATCACAGAACCAGTGCATTTAAAGTGACACAATCAGCTGAGAAACTGAAGTCAGAAGTACACGTGTGTAATAAAAATGATCGTGTTTACTGTGACGGAATCCTTACAGTACGCTTTCTGGAGGCTCAGAACCTTCTCTCTTACCTTTTCTGCACTTCTCCACAACTCCACTGGTCTCACAGGATCTAATGCTATACATACTCGGTTCAGATGGGGCATTCCAATGTTTTAGGGACACAGTGCTTCACAGAAGACCAACATGATGGATATATGGGAGAGGAAGTGACAATAAGCGTTTGGCCTCACCAGTTGTAACCCACAGATTCATCTTTCAGGAGCTTCACTTTGTCCTCATAGGGGCAGGGTTGGAAAGGCAGTAATGATGATGTACCTCAGAATACTTGAAGGTAGAGGAAGAGCCTATTGATCTCTGCTTGAAACCTATAGAGTGAATCCATTGCTACTTTATTAGTATGTGCTGTTACCTAGAGATGATGGTTTACTCACTAACTAAAGATAAATTCAAATAGCGAGTGGCAAAAGCTAAAAATGAGGTGGCAGATTGCTCTTTAATTGGTTAAGCTTCACAGTGTGTTTGAAAGTAATAATATACTTACCATGGTTGCTATGTTCCTGGATGCATTCTGTCCTTCCCTGATGCTCTATGTTAAAAATAACCTGAAGTATCTTAATATTGACCTATCTTTGGTTTTGTGTTTTTGAGCCTTGATGTGTATCATGCTGTTGGGTTCTGAGCAGTTCTTAAACATGTCATCTGAAGTGATGTGTTGCATCTTCAAAGAGGATTTGAAATGTTATACCTCTTCCACTTTGAGAACACCAGAACATATTATTTTTTTTAATGTTTGTTCACAGGCAAGACTGGATTTTCTTAAACCGCTGTGTCTGTTGGTGTGAAGCTCATATCCTTGTTACCGTTTCACTAGCCAAAAGTAAAAGGGACAGAGAGAGTAAAACATGTTTCCTCTTTTAGTGCCATTAGCTGTGATAAAGGACCCAGTGATGCCTGCATCTCATGCTCTGGAGAATTAGCTGTTGGGGTTAGGATTGATTTTTTGTTTGCCTGGGCAATGGCAAATGATAATGTACCATGTGCAAGGTTACCCATGTACATAGTCTTACCTATGCAAGAAATGTAAGGTGATCTGACATAATATCTTTCATAGAATAATATATAACTATTTGTAGAAACATTTTGTTACATCTGAACCCATAGTGTGGGGTTTTTTGCCTGCTGGCATAAAAAACTTACCCTCCCTCCAAAGCAATCAAACAAACCCCTGAACTTTGTGTGGTTTTGTTTGTTTTGTTTTTTTCCCCCAAACAAAATGATCTCTTCCTGTACATGGGTGTTCCTGATGGAAGACTCTCAATCACTGTTTCTCATGGGCTAATTTTTTTGCTTTTCTGTGATGTGACCATGCCTACTAGCAATAACCACTGTAAACATCTGGCCAGGATGTGGCAAAGCCATTCTCCATAAGATCCTCCATTAGATCTGTACATCCTTCTCTGAAAAAAAAAAAAATCCCTGTACCAGATGATTTGAAATCTTGTTTTGACAGCATCTATCTGCCGTGTAACAATGATGAACCTTTCCCCTAGTTTCAATTAGGGATGGCATCTGTTTTCAGATCTTCGGCTGGATCTGCTTTGTCACCTGCCTGTAGAAAACAGATTTTCTGGTAACATAATATCAGCTAAGAGAGGAAGAGATACTTGGGCTTTTAGAATGATTCATTCTATGCAATGTTTAAGGCAATAATAACTTTGAACTTAAAAGATGTCCTCCTAAGTTAGTCACTGACTCTCACATCAGTTGTTTCACATCTTGTTTTTCATCTCTAGGCAGTGTTTGCCTTAATTGAAATGAAACTGTATTGGCTATATATGAAGCAAGAAGACCAATCTATTTAGGAGCAAACCTAGGCTTTTCATGGTGTTTGCTGAGAAACCTGAGAAAATACACTGTATTTCAGATGGTGTCCAGCTGGGCCTTGGGCTTGGTAGAGCTTCGTTCTGATTTAACTGGGAGCGATCCTCCGGGATGGTAGGGTTTGTTATGGCAGAGCTCGGGTGGCTTCTGTAATCTGTCTGAACAGGATCCTCATTTCAGGCAGGCTGCGGGCAGTGATGTGGAGCTGCCATATACCTACCACTTGTTTGCTCCCTGCCACCGGTGATAACAGATTTTGTAGATTTTGACCAACAGAAAGAGCGTTGTCTTTTCACGTAGGGCAGGAGCAAATGCCTTTTAGTCATGAAGAGTGAAGTCTGTGTGGTCACTCACTCCAAAACAAATCGCTTAAATCATACAGGAATTTTCTTATCTACCCAAATTCCTTGGCTTCTCCTCCATTTCTGGCATTGGATTTTTTTTGAGATTTATATATGCTTTTAGCCACTGTTAGACAGAATGCCAGACTAAATGCATCTTCAGTCTGACCCTTTCTGTCCATTCTTGTGCAACGATACATGAATTGACTGTTATTTGTGGCCACTTTGCCCCTGTGCTCTTAGCTCTAAGAAGCAAGAGGATGACTAGGAGGAAGCTGGGCTTTTCCTATTCTAGATAAATCATTTTGACCATGGGAGGCAGATGAACATTGAAGTCATATTTGTGTGGCTAAACATTTCAAAGATGGTAAATCTAAATCATTTGAAGTCCCAAATGCATTGCTAAAACCTTAGAAAATCAGTTGGTTGCAAAATATTTTCATAATGTTCTTAAATAAGTATGAATGTTTTTATACAATCAACATTTTTTAAGTGGGATTGTCACTTTGGTATTCTCATTAGCTTTCATTTTTAGTATTTCAAAAGATGTGTTTTTTTAATCTTCAGGAATGTGTAATTGTAGGTTATGAATCTATGTGTTATCTCCACTTCTGTTTGCACCTCAGTTCAGTTTAAACTGGTTTTTGGTTTGTCTTACACTTCAAATAGACTCATGAATACGCTGTTACACTGCATACATTTAATGTTCTATAACATTGGTGGCCTTTGATCACATTTCCATGAGACCTTCTTGCTTTCAGAAAATCACCTCAGCTCTTTCTTGTCTTGTCAGCTTTAAACGATGGTTGAGTTGGTCAGCATGATGGATGAGTTGGTCAGCGTCACGGTGTGTAGGGGTGCCCGAGTTAGTGCCAGTCCTAACTGGTCTATCCATACAGTGCCTTGTGGAGATGCTAGCTTGATCTCAAATGCATGTATATTCACTTTTGTCAGCTTCCGCTCATCACTGTGCTGATGAGGTTGTATTGGTGCTTGCTAGAGGTGACATCCTATCTGCTACTCTAGCCCTCTCAATGCTTTGTTTACTGGCGAGTGTAAACAAGTCCATGGAGCCATTGAGGAAAAGACAGTGACTTAATGGCTTATCTTTTTGTTCCTCCTGGTTTTTGCAACACTGGCTGAAATGATCGTTAAGTAAATAAGAAGCAATATCATTACTGTTGAGATTCCTGTTACCGTAGGAGACAGTTGTTAGATGAAAGAAATGGGAAGCCCTGATTAGGTAGTTGGCACCATGCTTATTGTTTGCTAGACATAAAAATTTTCTTCTTTTCATCTATATTTTTGGCTGTTTGTTTCACTTGTGGCCTCCACAGGAGTGGAAGGTTTCTCTTACAGAACTGAAGCATACTTTCCTTTTCTTCCTTCTTTGCTTTTGGGGAGCAAAATACCACTGGTACTTTTGTCATCAGGTTTAGCAAGAGAATACCCGTGCCGTGGCTTCTCAGGGCACGTAATTTTTCCAGAAGTCATACAGCAATTCTGCCTGTAGGCTCCAAATGCTGTGGGATATGCAAACATTTATGATCTTTCTCGTGTTCCTCTTTCCTTAAGAATCTTCATTTAAAAACTTACATTCATCTATGGAATCAGCAGAATAACTGATGAAATCGAAATTGTCTGTCTTAGAGAATACTTAAGTTTTCTAGGACTATGACTCTGTGTTTTGCACTTCTTATGTTTCCTGTCTGCATGGAGTGGAATGTCCTTGGGCCACAATTCCTGTTCCAGTTACCACATAACAAGCATACTTGACAAATACTATGTCTCCCTTTTTAATACACAGAGCATTTGTTGCTTCTAAGAAACTGCTTTCCTGTAGGCATTGTGGCAGACCTAGGTCCTTGGACAAGCATTTCAGGGATGAGTGGAAAATCATTTTAAGAATATGGTCAAGGAAATAAATTTTATACTAGGCATGGGTTTTCCAACCTGTGTGCTGAAATTTCTGTTTTAATTTTCCCTTTCAACTTTCTCTTTTTACTCAGGGGGACAATACCTGGGGGGAAGTCCTGAGTATTGAAGAAAGCCAGAGAAATCTTATGTTCTTTCTGCCACATGCTTTGAGTAGAAATTGAGGGTCTCCTGTGTCTTTTCTAGAGGAAATAACATTGCAATAGGCTAATTCAGATCTGAATTCTTTTGAAGTCAAAAGGAAGGAGAACAAGTGCATATCCTTTAATGAATCTTTAAAAATCTCTCTGGATGTTTCTTGAAGTTCCGTATAATTTTACCGTGCTTTTACATCAAAAGTCAGATTTGTAATATGATTTTAATGTATGATACATAGGAGGAAAGCCGAGGAGCTGCACAAGTTGAGACTGTGAGACCCCGAGTTATTCATGTGAGACGGAAGTCTGAAGAGATGCAACAAGAAGGTAAATCAATGTCAATAAGCAAACATAGTTCTTTAACTGAAAGCACATCACTGTTAAATGTTGTATACTGATGTATAATGAAGTTCTAATTCTTTTAAATTTGGTTTTCATTACCTTCAACTTCCCCAAATTTCCAATTGTTTATATATAGTGTGTATAAATCTGTGTACATAGTTATGGTATAGTTGGGGTGCACTGAAAGGATTGGAAATGTATCTGTATGTAAGTCATCAGACTCCTTGCAATTCAGTATTTATTTAATTTTTTATTTGCCAAGAGCATTACAATGTGCATATTATGTAGTCAACTGAATCTTAATTGCTTTATAGAACCCTGTTCAGCAAACAAAATATCCATGGTGTTGTGATAGATGGCTGTGGTTCATCCGCCTGAGAAAACACAGGGGCGGTAGAGGAGAGCTGAGAGATAATACCAAGTTAAGATCATGAAAGTGGCAGGGGGGGGGAAGATATTTTCAGTGTTAAAATGGCCTGGTTTGACATGGGCTTCAAGCTAGCATGTAACAGAGAGTTCCTTTCGTGAAGGACACCTTGTATTATCTATGCATAGCCACACTATTTTTGGAGATTACTTAACAGTGTTTATTAAAAGTGTTAAGGAAGTTGCATGAGAGGGAGAGAATGTTTTTTATTTATTGTAGTTCAAGTCAGTGTTGGAATAACATAAACTGTGCATATTACTGCCTTATTTAATTGTTTTAGGAGATAATAAGTTTGTGGAGGTGGTAGAGTAAGATATGTAGTAGTTTTAATCTTACTTGCTAAGAACTGGAATCTAAAAACCTGCATGTCTACGATATGTGAAATTGTAATTGCTCCACCCTCGTATAGATAAATTCTTCCTTCAAGCCCTTTTAGAAATAATTATTTGAACTTCTTCCATTCAGGTTTTTTAAAACATCTTATCAAATTATAATTCTGATGGAATTACTCTGCTTCAGATATTTATAAGTGGTAAGCCCTAGGCCAATGTTGTTGGTCATGGGACTTGGAAACTAATTTCAAAACCATGGTTTACATATTAAGAAAGTTATGAATAATGTAAAACTTAGCTTCTATGGACAACTAGTGGAAAAGCTTACCGAACTGAAGTGGCATACCGTAGTGCATTTATATGATTTGTTGTAGAGACATTTATCACGTGTTTTAAAACTGGGTAAATAAAGAGTTAATTTATTAAAAAATGAGGGTTAACTCTTTTATTTAACAGTGGTGGAAAATATTGCAATGACTTTTTCTAATAGGAGGAACTATGTTTTTCCTCTGGTGTTCAGAAAATCCAAATTGCCTAAGGAAAGTGAATTTCCAGTAAGTTGAGTATGACCTCTAAATCGCCAAAAAGGAAATTATGTGGCAGGTCTCCCTTTCAGGATCAACCCGTTCCCAACTTTAAAAGCAGTTTTCCTTAATAGCGGTTATAGGAATATTCCTTTTATTCTTCTTCTTCCCAACACTTGCACCAGGGAGGAGGAAAAGGGGGGATAGTCTTCCTAACACAGTACTTCATGCTTTTGCACCTCAGCTTGGTCTTAAAAGTGTTAACAAGACAGCACTTCCAGCCTGTATTTTTGAGTAGGGTGTTGGAGAGGGCTGGAAATGGAGTAAAATATTTTTTATCAAATCTCTTGTTTTCTGGAATATTTATCTTTAAAAAAACCTAATTTACCTTATACTGTAATACAAGGTATTTGGGCACAGTCTATGTCTCAGTGTCAGATGAAAATGTTTGACCACGAGATGGCAGTAGTCAATTTTCTTTAAGAGGAACAAAAAAAGAGATGATTTATATACCAGGATAATTTAAATCTCATTCAAAGTATACATATTTAATGAGCCAATAAAAATCTAGAGGATTTGCAAATGGAAACAACTGTCTGTCAGTTTTAACCAGAAGGTCTTGTCTCTATAAGCTTCACCACAGCAACTTAATCAGTCAAAAAGTTGAGGGTAAAAATTAATAAGAATCATTTGAGAGAAAAATGAAAACTTGCAACATGATAAGTATATATGGGTTTAAGTAAATACAACATTTTAAAATTAAGCACATCTGTTACTGTAAGTTCAAAGCACTCTGTTTATAAAAACTTCATGTCAAATGGTTGCCTTTACTGAGCTAGCAAGGGACAATGAGTACTGGCCTGAAAATGGAGAAGCATTTCAGAGGCAGGACCATTTAGGTATTTTTTCAGAGTTGAAAGGGTAAGTGGTTGTATTGGTATTAGAGCTTAGAAAATCTGGAGCCCTGAAATGAAGTGTGAATTCAGGCTGTTGGGAGAAAAGGGAAATTGTTTTAGACTTAAGAGTTGGATGTAAAAAATGCTTTTTTTATTTAATTGATAAATACATGACAAGATTTGATTCATCTTTTGTCTGCGGTCATAAATATATATACGATAGAGCATTCTTTTGTTGTTGAAAAAATTTTTGTGGTCTACAGAGAACATGTGTTTTTACTGAAAGTAAGTTGATTGATGTCTTCTAATGAAAGACGAAGTTCAGTAGGACTGTTACAATATCATGCCTGAAAGGGTAGTGTCTCCTGAAAGTTACAACTGAAAATAAAGTCTGAATGTATTATTAATTGAAATGTGTGCCTTCTCTAGACATAGCGGAGACAGTGGTTTGAAAACATATATTTGCAGTATATAATATACATGCATATATATTTTTGGCTTTATCATACCCTTTAATCTTTGTACCATTCTTTCATATATCTTCATAAATTTAATAAGATAATAATTGTTGTGGTTGGTGAATGCGCATACTTCCAGAACACAAGCATTTTCAGGCTTACATTAACACGATTCAGAATTTTTAAATGAAAATGAAAGAACAGGTGGCAATGCTTGCCTGCAGAGTGTTTTTAAACTTTAATATGAGCAGCTCAGAACCAAGAGGTAGATGTATCTTCACCTAATTATTTTTCTACAGCACAGACTCTCAAAACGTGACCTAGAGAGCGCAGCTTCATGGTAGTAATTCCTTTTTATATCCAGCTAGTGAATTATATTCAGGCAGCCATAAGTACATGGGAAAGTAATGTTGGGACACTAAGCAATTGGCTTTGTTGCCACAGAGAGATTGCACAATTGCTTGTGGGAAGAGATGATCTGTGCAATAAATTAATAAGAGGGTAAGAAGTCCTTAAAACAATCTGTATGAAAAATAAAGCTTCTAGAGTCCCTGTTAGGTATTGAAGATGGGCTAGTTCTGTGTTAACACTGACATTATGCTGTATTGAAAACTGTAATATTGAAAATACGGATATAACTAAATACTTCTTCACCTCTTTTCTTTAGCCAGACATTGCTCTGAGTTAGATTGTGGGTTATTTTTTTCTTAAAACTATTGTGGCATGAAGCAAATCTCTAACAGATGCTTCAAGGAAGGAAGGAGATTAGGATAAGGCTAAAGGTCTTTATTTTTTTTCTTGGAACTGGAACTGTTTTGGTCGAACTCCTAACAACTATTCTACTGAAAGTTTACTTTCTCCTTAATATCCTGCTGTTTCTTTTTTTGGACTAAAGGCTTTTGCTAAAGACCATCCATACCACCCTGAAAATAGCAGCTGGTGAAGCAAAACAGAGCTATTCTTTCATGCTGTAGATAGTACCCCCACAACCTGAGAGGTAGGAATGGTTTGTGTAGCCTTTGTTGCTCCTTGAATTTGATTCATTTCTGAGAGAAGATCTTGGAAATTGAAGTTGTGAAATCAATTAGCTATAATTACGGCATTTTTCAAGAAAATGTCCTGTTAGAGGTTTATGTAAGTTTTTCAGTGCTTCTTCAGAACTCTTATTTCTGGTATATTTTGACTCTGGTTTTCCTATACCGTTACCTTCCCGTGCTATCAGATGGCTCATTGACATAATTCAGTTAATATATTTTACATTTGCACAAGTTAGGAAATGCAAAGCTGCGCTTCCCACAGACACTGTGTCTTTTCTGTAAGAGGTCATTAGCTTTTAGGTGCTCCAAGTGGTTAGAAAGACCATTTCTCAAAGAGTTTTCGTTTGCTTTTTCTGCACATGTGACCATAGCAGTTACATGATAGCCCATACATAAGAAAACATGCATCTGAGTTATAATGCATTTTGCATATTATCCCCGTACAAAATCCTCAGTAGCCACACTTGAGAGTTTCTAGTTTGAATTACTGTAAGTCAATATTTAGCTGTGTTCCAGTACATTTGGAACAGGAGTTTTGAATTTCTTGGCTTTTGTAAATATTATTTATCTGTTAAGAAGTGCCATTTATATCTATGGTTGCTTCTTTTCCCACTGAGTTACTTCAGTTATTTTTCAGACAAAATGTTAAAACAGAAGTTTGATTTTTCATAGCTTAAGATGAAGTCTTGCATAGAATTGTTATTGTAGACAATGATGTCCTTCTGCTGTGGGTGTGCTTTGCTGCTTCAAGTTAGGGTCCTGGGAAACCAAGCACCAGGAACTTTGGTGGGTTTCATGTGACTGTGCACATCCTTGGACTCATTCCCAAGAGATCCCTTTCTGGGAAATGATACTCCGGTTTCCTAGACCTGTCATTTCTTCCCCTCGCTTATTTGTGCAAAATGTGTGAACAACAGGAACTTCTAGCAGGTGAAGCACAAATCTCCTGGTACGGTTTTTAGACTCCTAGAATGCCATTTGATTTTTTTTGAGGCATCTAAATGAATTGAAATTCAAATAATCATATTAAAAAAACAAAAAAAACCCCCGGTTTATACTTAAAGAAAACTGTACCAAGCCAACTCATGCTGCCTTGCAGTCTGAGGATTTCCTACCAACTGGCATGCTTGGGTAAAAGTCCTTCTCCTCTGGAGTTCCACGCCACATATCACCTGGCCCTTTTCTTACGGATCTACATGCACTAGGTTTTTTGCTCACTTGGCAATTTTCTTCAACTTCTAAGAGGTTTAGAGTTAGTTCTCCTCTTACTGCCTGCCTCCTTAAATGGCACAGAGGGATACAGTGCTCTCT